CCTACCCCACCCACCCCAGGCCAGCTCCCCGGACCTAGCGCTTAGGTAGCCCACCAACACATGCACACCCAACCCACCCCAACACACAGCCAACCATACCTATACAAACCCCCACACTCCTCCACAAACACATCCTTACTTCCCCACACAATATACATTAGTGAGACTATTTTGAGCTATTGTGCAATCACATTTATATATGCTACTCAAACACACACAAATCAGGACAAAAATATTCGGGACTGGTTGAGGGTGATGGGACAGGTTGTTAGAGGAGTTACACCCCCTTGCTACCTGATAGGTTGTGCCAGGGGCGACAGGTAGGGTGTGCACGTGGGTGCATGTGCACCCCCTACATGTGTTGGTACACCCCTTGCAAAAAGGTGCCCCTGACATTGTCAGTGGTGCCTGCAGATGGTCCCTGATCACTCCTGGCTGCCACGGATGCTGCTGGTGGTGCCCGTGGCTGGACGCTGACCCATGGTCAGCTCTCACCACCCCCCTGCTGCCGCCAACAGTGCCAGCGGCGTCTGCGGGAGCTCCCTGCTCCTGGGCTCCAGCCACCGCCAGCACAGCCATGCCCCCCCTGCCACCGGGGGCACGCGCTGTTCATGGGTTGTGCCTGTGCTTCATGGCCTGAAGGGCAGATCTTTTGCGACCTTAGGAGAGCCTCTTTCTGCAAACCGCTTCTGGTCTCTACTTCCCACAAAGACAAGTAGTCTACAAACCATCTGTAGAAGAACTCTGTTTGCAAATGAATGCCCACAATGAGGATGCCTCTCCTGCAGGCTACGGAGTAGGATACAGCTAAAAAATGGTGGCTCAGGCTGATTAAGGGCAACCTCAAGGTCAGTCCTAAATATCAATGTAGACATATCTCACCTTTATAAATACATATCATGCAGTTCCATGCAAAGTTTTTCATAGATTTCATAGACATTTGGGCTGGAAGGGACCCCGGAGGATCGAGTCCAGCCCCCTGCCCCAGGGGCAGGAAGTCAGCAGGAATCATAGGATCCCAGCAAGATAAGCATCCAAATGCATCTTGAAGGCGTTCAAAGTGGGTGCTTGAACCACGTCCAGCGGCAGTCTATGCCAAACCTTGGGGGCTCGGACAGTAAAGAAATTCTTCCTTATGTCCAGCCTGAAAC